TTTTTTTTTTGCGGGATTGGGGTTGAGATTTGTTTGGGTAGACTGGAGATAGGATGCACTGGTGTTAGAATGTCAAGTTCCGAGTCCACTCCTGGATGTCTTGGCAACCCTTTTCCCACAGTTGGAAGATAGATAGATGATCAAGACCTGAGGGGTGCATTACAGGTGATTTCAAGATAAGTGATCCAAAGAAACACTCAGGTCATTTCGCGGCAAACGGCTGGTACCCTCAGTGAAACATCGTTCGGTGGAAGAGATGTCCCCTTGGAAGACTGTTTTCCATTCTTCTTCTCAACACCCTATAGGGTGTTTTTCCACTTCCATGATTGTTTCAGGGAGGGTCGAATGAAACAGACACCTCCTCAGCCTGAGGTCAGATCCTCGCGGCCGGCGGTGGCGTGGGCGGTGGCGGCATCCTGGTGGGAGACCGCACGCGGGAGACCGGGCGCGGGAACGTTCGACAGACGCGGGGTGTCGGACACAGAATCACAGTCCTTAGAGTGTTGCATGTGGGAAGAGGTAGACGAGGTGGATAAGAATCTCGCATGTTTCATGCATGTTCAACGTGGAGATGGAACGATGAGACGATGAGGCGCTTTTTGCAACGGACCGGTGTCTTGAGTCTTCTTTGCATTTTCTAAACACTTATATCCTATAGAGCACCCCTCTTTCGAAAGCCGTTGATGTGCCGAAGTGTGACGAGCACGGCCAAAGAGACTTGGGACACTTCTTTACACAGAGAGCGCATGATGCACATTGCTCTCACAGAGCATCTTGAGCCAACGGAAGGTGCCACTCTACATGCTCTTCCTCCGCTTCCGCCAGATTCCAAGGGGGTGGTCTCCCAAGCGAGTTCCACCATGTTCCACCTATCGATATCATATCATGGTGTCATCTGGACTGAAGCAGCAAATTGCGCACTGCATCACAAGTTGGAACATGTCCTGGCACCCGACAAGACCCTTTTGACGCACATCGGACCGGTGGCCTCACACCCTCGTTGTTTCGCTCGTTCGACCCTGTGGCCTCGGTATCACAGGGCCTCGGCATGCCGTGGCGCTGTCGAACATCACCGTGCTTGGAGGTGTGGCGGGAGAAGAGACCGCAGGGAGACCGCGGGGAGACTGCATTATCTCAGGATGTCTCATGATGCGGAATCTGAATCTGATGCAAAGCAAGCGATGCACCCGTATACCGTATTTTTTTGCCCCAAGAATTTGGGTAGCTGAAGAGCTCTAATAGATCCCATTTCCAGGGTGCCGCGCAAGTTAGCGGAGCCATGCTTCCCTTGCTGGTGAATCTGCTCGCCGTGGCCTCTGCATCGGAGTGCCCAAGCGGGGCAGATGTCACGAGCTTGCTGAATCATCAGTCACTTCGTGTGGCCGATCGCCATTCACGCCCCTTGTGGATGAGTGAAGTCTTCACGGACTTTACCTTGAGGGATCTCGCGTGCCAAGGGAAGCCTTCTCAAGGCTTTACCCGTGAGTGTTGGACGTCGGCCTTTGATCGTTTCGACCGGAACAGTGATGGCATCATTTCTGCGGAGGATGTGCAGGTGCTTGAGACGCTTGAGAGTGAGACCACCAAGAACAACTTGACACGTGCAGATCTTCGGGCTGGCATAGCAATCGCGTGCCGCTGGTATCCTGAAGAATGCATGCAACTCATCGTTCATGAGCCTTTGATCACTGCGCTGGTCTTCGATGATACTGACATCGGCGAATTGCCACCTCGCTCCGGCACGATTTGCTTTGCCTCAGCCTCCAGTGACTCAAGCCCTTCAAGTGATTCCAGCGAGCCCAGTGAATGGCACCTCGCTGATGTTGATTGAAACAGAGAATCCTGCGTGTGTTGGGGCCAGTGTCCAGGTGGCCGTGGGTTGTATGGGGCTGGCCTTCGGAATTCTTGGCATTGAAATACCCGGTGGAGCCCTTGTGGCTGATATGGTCCAGACCAACTCCAGAGCGGTGTCTTTGATCCTTGACATAGTGAGGCAGATGGATAAACTTGATGATTATACCAAAGTGGCATTAGACGTCAGGGATATCTTGAAGGTCCTCTATGACGAGGGCATTTTTTCTGCAGCTCTCAAGGAATCCTTAAAAGACAAGAGCTGGTGGGAGTGGTCGAAGATGATTGCTCAGATCAATGCGACGGTGGCTCTTTGGTTTATCCCTGGTGCTGGTCAGGCGGCTTTCCTCCTACAGGCGGGCCTAGCCCTTATCGATGCCATGGATGTGATCGATGGGTTGAAAGATATGAAGAAACACTGTGTGTCAAGCAAAGGAAAGGATGGTCAAAAGGACCAGCAACCCGGTGGCAAGCCCAAGAAACCCGGTGGCAAGGCCCAAAAGGGCCAGGGCAAAGCGAAAAAATGAGCAAGCTACTCTCGCACGATGGGATCAGGGCAAGGGCCCTAGATTTTGAGTGGCCTTCATAAGAAAGGTGCGTTTTCCAAATTTTCTGCTGATAGCGCAGCGCTTCACAAGCAATTGCTCCGACATATATATAAGCGTAGCACAGAAAAGGACCGTTAGCCTCTCCGTGTCAGTGACTTGAATGGCAAACTGCCGAGCGATCCGAGAGGGGTGAGCACACATGATGGAGAGGGTTTTGGGCCACCCTCCGAGCGAGTTGGATGGGCCACCGAAGCCAACGGAAACATCTCGTCCGAAGCGAGGTGCGATGGCCAACACCGGGGTGAACCTCCTGCGGAGGGACGAGCAGCTTGATTGAATGTCACACATGTGCAAGCGCCAAGAATGAGGAACACTTGGGGTAGAGGGATGAATATAGCACGTGTCTTCAATAGTAGGAGCTGCGATCCTTTTTGGGGACCATCTGGGACGCGTACCATCTGAGAACTCATTGGTTTTGCTGATTTCAGCAGCGGTAGTAGAGTCTCCCAGGAATGGCCGGAGCCTCATCGACTGGAATATCATTGTGATGATGGCACCGGTCTCAGTGGACGTCAATCCGTGAGGATGACGTCCATGACTCTGGAGAACTGGACAAGCATCCAAAAGCATCCGAAAGTCTGAGACTCTTTGAATGGGAAGAGGATCTTAGGGAGAACAGGGAGGACAATCTGAACATTCTCCTTTCAGTATCTTTCAATATAAAAGCATTGGGAGGCCCAAATCGCACGTTGTTTTGGACCCCCGCAAAGAGTGTGTCTTGGGTTCCTTCGGATTCCCTCGGATTGCTTCGGACTGCAGGAGCCGGCGACCATTGGTGGGACCATCGTGGGATCCTTCTTGTCCAAGTGCCTCTGTGGGATCCGGAGCCAACAAACATGTGAACTAAGTCATGGACAGTGTAGCAAACTACCCTACCCGGTCTACCCTCTGCATTTGATGTCTGCAACGTTTTCTTCACAAAGTCAATAGCACAGACATAGTCACAGACATGCATGGAGCAATACTCGCAATACTTGATCTTAATCGTCATTCTTTAAAATCACGCAAGAACACTTGTGCATGTGCGTACATCAGTAGACCCGACGCAGGATGAAGCATGTGCTATATAATTCAGCAATCTTCCACACCGACAGAAGAAGGGTCCATATTGATGCCTGTTGCAGCACCTTCCATGTATAGCACAGCCTCTCATGAGTAGACATCCTGTGTCCTTTTCCACATAGTTTGATTCGTCAAAACAGCACCCGAACCAGGCGAGAAAGCCTTGCTTAAATGATTGGAGAAGGCTCTTGGAACACACCCCCAAGGGGGAACGCGCATGCAGGTACCTGGCCGACTTCGTCTTGATGGTGCGGAACTCTGTGGTTTCGGCGTTTGATGGATCTTAAGCACTTGCTCCTAGTAGCAATGCCCTTTGCTCCTAGTAGCTTCTTGCTCCTAGTAGTAAGGCCAGGAGCCCTAGTAGCGTCCTTGCTCCTAGTAGCTTCTTGCTCCTACTAGCAAGGCCAGGAGCCCTAGTAGCGTCCTTGCTCCTAGTAGCGATGCCCTTCGCTCCTAGTAGCTTCTTGCTCCTAGTAGTAAGGCCAGGAGCCCCTGGTAGCGTCCTTGCTCCTAGTAGCGATGCCCTTTGCTCCTATAGTAGCTTCTTGCTCCTAGTAGCAAGGCCAGGAGCCCTAGTAGTGTCCTTGCTCCTAGTAGCGATGCCCTTTGCTCCTAGTAACTTCTTGCTCCTAGTAGCAAGGCCAGGAGCCCTAGTACCGTCCTTGCTCCTAGTAGCGATGCCCCTTGCTCCTAGTAGCTTGTTGCTCCTAGTAGTAAGGCCAGCAGCCCCTAGTAGCGTCCTTGCTCCTAGTAGCGATGTCCTTTGCTCCTAGTAGCTTCTTGCTCCTAGTAGTAAGGCCAGGAGCCCCTAGTAGCGTCCTTGCTCCTAGTAGCGATGCCCTTTGCTCCTAGTAGCTTCTTGCTCCTAGTAGTAAGGCCAGGAGCCCCTGGTAGCGTCCTTGCTCCTAGTAGCGATGCCCTTTGCTCCTAGTAGTAAGGCCAGGAGCCCCTAGTAGCGTCCTTGCTCCTAGTAGCGATGTCCTTTTCTCCTAGTCGCTTCTTCCTAGTCCTAGTAGTAGGGCCAGGAGCCCGTAGTAGCGTCCTTGCTCCTAGTAGCTATGCCCTTAGCTCCTAGTAGTAGCAAGCATAAAGCTCCAGAGAACCTGTTGCAGTTCACCAGTGGTCCATCCCTTGAAGGTGTTACCTGAAGGTTCAGCAGGTTTTCTGAGTCATTCACAAAGATTGGGGCTTCTCTTCGTTGTAGGTTCCGGTTCCCCCCTGAAAGGACTGATTGTTCTCATAGTTGGGCCAGAGATGGTTGATTGAGCAATCATCTGAGCAGACTTATGCCTACTCATTTTCCTTCTTCTGAGTGGTGGACCAAGAGGGGTTGTCTGACAGAGGTCTTTTTGGCGGTTGTTCTGGCGGTGCTTTCCTTTCGAACCTTGGACAAGGCTTAACACCCGGGGGTGTTGATGTTTGGAGATCGAGCGAGCGAGCGAGCACGGATTGAACACCTACCAATGACCTCCAACCTAGTAGCGATGGCCAACCTAAGAGCGATAGCCTCCATCCTACACATCACTACACACTTACATCATCAGCCAAAAACCAGTGAAGCCAAGGGCCGCAGCTCCGGAACTCGCACCGCCCTCTTCGTTGGGGGTTGTTTTCGTTTTTCGCACATGCCGTCTCAGCCGTTGTCATGCACCATTTTTGGACGTCGAAATTCGCTCTCCGAGAACTAACAAACAGAGAGGAATCACTCTAGAATGAGCAAAGCTTCTGGGGGCAGCAAATGGCTTTTGAGAAAAGGTTCGCTCAAGACAGCACAAAAAGGGTGGATACTCCTTAATTACGGCTAGTGGTCCTTCAAGATTCCATCTGACCTCTGGCCGTGGCTTAACGGCGCCCTTTTTCGACCGAGTGCCAGGGCTTGGAGATGTTTTGGCGCGAGAAGGATGCGATTCCCATTGTGCATCAGGCGGTTCCTGACCGAGCAATGCAAAAGAACACCGCCATTTCTTCCGAGTTCCCGTTCCGGAACCTTTTTTCGGAGCCCCTTTTCTCAACGGCGGCCGTTGATTAGACGGAGGCGAGATGTTATTTGGTGGGGCCACCGGTGAAGGGAAGAGGTTATGGAAATAGATATATAGACAACGTATGAATATGTATATTAATATGCATCATATGCATGGATTCATTCATTTATGTTTTTATCCGTATCCCATTGCCAACGGACGCATCTCATTCCAGGGACGATGTCTCTTCTGATGACTCGCCCATGTCGATAGGCCGTGGAGGAGGCCCAGGACTCTCAGGAGGTCGCCAGCGAGGAGGAGGATGCCAAAGAGTCCGAACACCCAAAGCAAACGCACCCGAAACGGTGAGAGAGAGGGTGGGTCCAAGTGAGAGGAGGTGAGGGCTTGTTGGGCCCACTTGTTTGGGTACATGTTTCATCGTTTTCATGGTCCGATTTGCAGAGATTTGATCCCCTGGAAGCTTTGAACTTAAACGGGCATGGCTTCTCTGGGGCATATAAGTAAGCAGGCAGACGACCTTCGACGTTCTTTGCGAAGTCATCTTCGGTCGCAACGAGTGTTTGTTCTGTTTTGGCACGAAGAGAGGACTGCCTGTGGTTTTGTGCGAAGAACACCAGCGACACCAACACAGGATTTAGTGGCGCAAAGATGCATCACAACAACTACTGTAACTATCTAGGTCCTAGGTCTGACAGTCAGACACCTTTCCCATTGAACTGTCGGAAGGTTTTGACCATCACAACGCCGAGTGTTCTTCAGAGAAGCACTTTGGCCAAACGTGTTTGTGCCTCATCGATGCTCAGTGTTTGTTGGTTCTTGCTACTGGAGGACACCGGGGTGCTGTGCCCATTGCATCCATTCGGGATCATCGAATCCCTGCTTCCGAGCCACCCGATTCGAGACGTAGTCACTGCTGGGCAGACTGCTGGGGCCCAGTCCTTGAGAGAACTCACCTCTGAGAACCCTGGACAACAGCAGAAACCAAGCCCTGCCATAGTGAGGTGAGTGATTTGTGCTCAGCATGCGTGCACGAAACAACTGTCCGGCGTGTGTTCTGGACTGTCAGCTGTGGAGCAGATCCGATCAACGGAAACACACCGAACATGTTCCCTCCTCCTGCAGCATCTGTGAAACACTCGGACGGTCTCCTGGATCCCTTTTTTACCTTCCAGCCATATATACATACATATAATATATACCTGCATGGAATAAGTCGATTTGGTACCCAGATACCCTCCAGAAGGTCCAGAGCAGGTCCACCCCTCCCCATGAAAACAGCTCCCTTTCGGTCCTCCGCACCTCGCCGCGGCCGAGGTCCCGGAACCTGGTGGGGCATTCCATCCGCACGGTGGAGCGGGACCATCGAACGAAGGCGGGCGATGACGGCTGGTGGGGATGGCGTACACCACAAAAAAAAATATATAAATGGCACAGGGTTTTTGAGTTGCGCCATCTACTTGGCATTGTACGCTCCTTGAGTTGCGCCATCTACTCCACACAAGGGGTGCCAAGCAAAAACGGCCCCAGTAGACTTGATCAAAGGCGATTGTTGAAATCGAGCCGTCCCGATTTTTTTGTCTTGAGGTTGAATTTGGGAAGAACAGTTGGTTTTTGCCAGGTTTCGTGATTTTTTAGTATTCGTTCACCCATCGTCTGCAAAGCTAAATCATGAGGGAGTAGATGGCTCAATACTTTTTAGAGGGGCAAAAGAGACTCCTTGCATATTTTTGGCGGAACACGAACCAGAGTCATCATAGTTCGTTTCACTTTTAAATTCCGATACTGTAGGCGTTTAGTAATGTTACAAAAGAACAGAACAATCTGACCAGTTGCGAAACCACCATGGCTGACCCATTGTTGCTTGAAATGCAGCCAGCCCCAAGAGAGTCTTGAAACTGTACGTCGTTTCACTTAATTTCCAATACTGTAGGCGCTTACTGATTACTTTCGCTTTTGGCTAGAAAAAGAAATCCAGCAGAATGCAAAGTAGATGGCGCAATGTTTCACGATTTCATCAGTCACGGATCCATGACCGCGATTTTTGGCAGTGGTCTGAATTTGACGTTTGGGTAGGATAGATGGCGCTCTCCGCATGATTGGAGTTGCGTCATCTTCTTTTTTCGTGGTGTACCTCGTTGGATGGGCCTCAATGAAGGCATACCAGTTGCGCGTTTTTCCATTCTGAAGGCGCTTTTACGTCTTGGGTTCTCGGATGCAACAGATAATGTAGATGCTTGCGCAGACAAACCACCTACTTTGAGCACATTCGCTTAGAGCCTCGTGCACTTCTCATTTGCACACTGTTCCAATACGACATCCTCTAGCTCAAGAAGTCTCTTTCTTGTTGCCTCAAGGTCAAGCCCTTGTCTTTCCAATGCCGCCTTCTGGATGGAAGAAGTTGACTTGCGAGGAGATGCGCCAGGAAAATCGCCAGGAATCGCTGAGGCAGACCTGCAGGCATCAGGAATCGCAGAGAGGCAAAGTCTGTCCAGCGAGCACCAGGAAAGAAGCAAGGTAGACCCCGAGCGACAGAGGCCCACAGCAACCATCTTGAAGTCTGCCAGACGAAAGGCTTCTGACTCCATTCCGGATGCCCTCCATGAGCACCAGCACGTTTCCACTGGCACATTGTGAAGGGACACGTGCCGCTGCAAGTCACGGCATCTTCCCAAGCCGCAAGAAGAGCGCCTTTTCCGAGTGCCCACGTCGTATGTTGAACGGAAGGAGATGGACTTCTTCTCAACGGTCCCAAGAGCCTACGCCGCCACCAGGGCGCGCACAGGAGGGAAACCCAAGTGCAAGCCAGAGCCGCAGAGCAATGGAGCTAGCACTAGCACATCCTTTGTTCAGCTTGTTTTGCAGCGTGGTATGGCCTTGTTGTCCTAAGTTGCGACTCCTCAATGCTACTGCATGTGCCTACTGTTCACGAAAAGGCTGCCTATGCATTCTACCTACTCTGACCCCAACATTTGTTACTGTTGGGGGAATAAATCCTGCACCACTTTTATGAAGATCATGTCTTTTGCAATCGCGCTCCCTCTTTACACTAGCCAAAGTCATTGTCTTGGGAATGGCAAATGCTTGTGTTGATATGTCCATGACTTAAAGCATGGAACCTCCTTCTGTAGGCCAGTTCCATACTTAGAATCGAAGATCGTCATCGACCTGTGAGATTGGACTGTTGGTCTTATGCTTCCTTGGCTGTATTGCTGGAGCCTCAGTGACAAAGTGTTTGGCAGCATCAGTCGAACTGGCCTTTGCAGGCTTGACCGTGTCTACTGCCAAACTGTCAAAGGCAGTAAAATGTTCACTCGCTCCTCATTAAGATCTTTATGAAACTATTCCGTCACATGTTAGCATGCTTCGATCCACATGGTCTTCCCTTGACCTTCCCCAGACCTACTCGGCTCTTTACAGAGAAAACGCTGGTGTGTTCACACCGAGGGCTTGACCATTCTCAAAGGCAGTGGTCGTGGTTCTGTCGCAGGATGCGGGCGTTTGTCGTGCGGGCCGCGCTCGGCCGTGCGACCGGTCCCAGTGCGGCGGGGTGTGGTCCCAGTGACCACAGGAAAGAGAACGCGTGCGCCCTTGCGCGTGGTTTTGAGACTTGGTGGTGAAAAACAGCAAGACCGTGGGTTCACGGTAGAATTTTGGTATTGCTATATAAGTTGAAATCTTTCAAAGATAATTATGTGGCGACCCTGAGAAGACCACCGTGCTACGGTTTCTGAAGGTGTAGGTTCTAGAATCACATGGCATCGCGTGTTATCTTCCAAGTGCCTCCCTCCGCATCAAGTCAATGATTCCTGGATGGCCCACTTGAAGAGAGTACTGGCCCCACTGACTCCTGAAGGTTTGCAATGGTCTGCAATGGTTTTTGTTTGGCATGTTTTCCAGATTTTCAGATACAGCTTTTGCATGTTTTTGGGGTAGTTTGTCAAAAACAAGGCCCACCACACACAAGTTGACTTCACAGACGAATGAGGACGCAACCATATTAGCAACTGAACGACCATCGTTGAGAAGCAGATGGGTCTCCCGTGGCGTGGTGGTCGTCGTGGTATGTTGGGCAGTCACGTCGCTTGACTGCTCCAGGAGTCTCTTGTGGCTCCGTGAGTTTTTGGCTTTTGACTTGGGCCGCCTTGCCGTGGGTGGTGGGCTTTGGCCCGGAAGCGAAGATGGGTCGGGGAGTTGGGGAGTTCTAGTGTTCTTCAGAACTCAAGCAGCTGTCTCCACAGCTGAAATGACATGTCTCCACTATGCACTATGGAGCCCTTTACCTGAGGCACGCTCGTCTTTGAACAGCATTGAGCAGCACTTTTATTGCTTCACCTGTGTGAATGTTGAACGCACCCTTTTCAAAGGCATTTGAAAGTCCGGGCTGATATATACTGGCACCCTTCGACTCCTTCGACTGGGCTCCTTCGCACGCGACCAATCCGGCTGCGGATCCGGATGGATCGGCCCCTGTTCTCCGCCGAGGGAGTCCGCTTCACAGGGAGTCCGCTGCTGCCAAGGTCTGATTTTCAGAGACATGCTCATCAAAGAACACCTCGAGAACGAAGAGGATGCCGCTTTTTCCGAATGCCTCCGAATGCCTAGAGTCCAGAGTGGCCGCTCCCTCACCACAAAGCAGTGAATGCTATGACTTCTTCAGGAGGATCTTTTGAAAACAAGATGTTTGGATCCTGGAGCTCAACAAAGGTGTTCGAGATGTTGCAAGGTTCCTGGCCCAGCGCATGCCAAGCCACCAACCCACCACCAACCTACCTTTCCAACGTGTTCGTGGCTTCAGGACGGCCACGACTACCAAATGGCGGAGATCCGCTGGACAGCCGTCACTACCGTGAGGCCATGGCGATGGGGCCACGTCTGGCAATGCTTTTGTTCAGACACCAGAGTAGAGATGGGAGAGAATTGTGGGAAGTTCGAAGCCCCTCGAAACCAAAGAACACGGTAATTAGGTGTGTTCCATGCTTCGCGTCTTTCCTTGAAACTAGGCGAAACGGATCTCACTGCGGAGACGGCGAGACCGGGCCTTGAGTCTGCAGAAGATATACATTAGGCCCAGGTTACCCTGCCACAAGGAGTTCTTCATCGGACCATCGGGATTAAAACATAGGAATCATTAACCACCTTCTCCTGGTCCTGGTTTAGACGGCTTTTCCATTCTCCAAGCTGGTGGAGACCCGTTGATTCGGACCCGTGGGAGGGTGGCCATCGAGGTATCCAATGCTTTGCAGCCTGGCTGGCGTGCTAGCTGGCCTTTTTGGTGTTGGAGGCAAGGTTGGAGCTGGTCTACGTCCGTCTCATGTAGTTTGAGATCAACTTTAAACATGGGAAACACAAAAACATCAAGATTTCACTCATGTTCACTCTCAGTCGCCACTACTGGGTCGGCACTTGTAGTGTTCGTTGTCTTCGATCTATTTCTCAATTTGTTGTTGGCCCAAAAACAGCGCTCAGCATCCACTTTTTGGGGGGCGTTTTGAGCCGTCCGGGCGGCCGGAAGAGCAGTTCCGAGGAACAAACAATGTGTTTTAAAGGGATGCTAAGACCGATGGCCTCCAACCTACTAGCGATGGCCTCCAACATCCTCCAACCTAAGAGCTGAAATCCGCAATTCCTGAGGTGGCATTATCAAGGGGTGTGGAGCCCAGTGAAACGTCGCACATCGGGCATGGCGGTTTTGTGATCCCATGCACTGGCTGCAAGATGTTTCTGTTTTCTGGCAGGGTCTTTCTGTGCAACGAAGGCCATGTTTTTGAGCAGATTCTTGCTTTATCTTGCTTCCCTCATTCAAAGGAAGATGCCTTTGACTCCAAGACGTGTGGAGTCTTTTTGATGAGATGGAGGGATGGTTAGAGAACAGACATTCCTCATGAAACAGCCACATTCCGTGTGATTGGAGGAAAGGCACCCACTTGCTCCAAATTCTCGCCATGCCCTGACCCTGTCAAGAAAGAGAAACATCTTATCTTCAACTTCCGATCCAGCTTTTTTGTGATTGGAACTGCTTGCTTCTTGGGGAAGGGGTCAAGGATGGTTAAAAGTAGGATGGAAGGGAAGGGGTCAAGATGGGTCAAGGGTGACTCCAAAAGGTACTGTAGTTATAGAGGATGACTCCACTCCGTCCATCCGTGTCCCGTCCTGGCGCACCAAAAGGAGAGACGTGAGAGACGTTTGGACGCCTTCGGTCCGAGGCCGCTCATGCTAGAGCTTGGCGTGGATCCTCATGTGGCCTCAGCCACGGCTGCCACCATGTGGGGGCTTCTCAGAGAAGCGCGGACCACTGAGAATCGCGGAGCGCATGGAAGCTGCGTTTCGGGTTGTTCCTTTTCCAAATGGTTTTTCCATGTGTCTTCGATGGGGGGCAAGATGGGCCGAGTGTTTGATGGTCCACTTGATTACTCACATGGAGATATTTGCGAGTGGAGATGATGCCCAGCTTCCGCAGACCTCTTCACCAAACTTTCAGTTGTTTAGTATTTTTAAGCAAACATACTGTAAGGAACCTACTAGCGATGGCCTCCAACTGGAAAGTGAATCCGGAGTTTGGGAGTACTCGCCGAAAGCTCAATTGCTCAGACTATTCTCCCGGCAGTCAGACTGTGCGCACCGAAGAACACGTGTCCCAGGACGCAGCCGGTGTCGTTCGGATTGATCCTCATCGGTCGATCGGAGTCGACGTGACACACGAACCGCCGAGGATTCTCTTCACCTCATCTGCCGCCTCTGTTTCCTTTGAGGCGGAATCGGTGATGGATGGAGATCCATGAAGAAATTCCGGATCCCATGATCATGGTTTCGTTTCGAAAGTGTAGAAATTTATTCAACAGTGTCCAGTCACTGGATTTTCCTTCACTCTCATGACAAGCAAGGGAGGAATATGGCTGCCAGAGTTGGGACGAGGGCTTGTTTGATGCAACACTCGGGTCTTGAAGGGCCTGGTTCAAGTGGATGGGGGCCAAAATCAACCATGTCAGAAATAAGGAACAACAGGTTTTCATTTGTCTTTCAAGAAGAGGCAAATCGAAGGCCCAACAGAATTTGTCAGAGGTTTCGTTCGAAGCTGATGAAGCTGATCGTTCATCTCCCCTGGCTGGTTCGAACCGTTTCCAGGTCTTTGGCCTTTTGAAGGCGGACTACGGTGCTTTCTGCTTCATCCTAGGCGGGCCCAGTGGGCTTCAAGGCCCCATAGTGGTGGTTTCGTCAAATGTTCAGTTCAACAAGCATTTGGGGCTGTTGGTATGTCTTTGCTTTGTGGGAATTCTGCTTCATGTCTTGATAGACAAGATGGATTTTTCCCACACCATGCAGAGGGGATGATCGTCGGTTCTAGTGGTGTTTAGATGCAGCACTACTAGTTTTGAGTTTTCAGGATTCTTCAGGTTTGGAGAAACTTGGCAGAGTATCAGTTGGCTGGAGCATAGTGATAGTGAGTGATGTTGGAGCAGGAATGTTCGCAGCCCTGGGCCAAGAGCAGGCCAAAGTGTCGCATACCATTTGCCAGGATTTGGATGCACCATGCTGGGCCAATACGCTATCCAACGTTGGGTTCAGGCAGGGCGAAAACCACCCTGGGCCAGGAGCTCTTCAGATTAACAGCTGTGAGCTGGGGTGCGGGGACGCCCTCAAGGCCCGAAAGCTCCCCTTTCAAAGTGGACTGCGAAAGCCAATCGGAAACATGGCCTTGTTGACCTGAACAACTTCTTGCTCATGTTGCTGTGGAATGGATTTGGGATCCTGGGGTACAGAAAACAAATTGACAACTATAGATCAATACTAACGGCCGACAAGACATGGCGATCCCTCATCGTCCATGCCTCATTGGAGAGATCAAAACTGCCTTGCAAGAGCATCTACTTATGTGGTTCGTACACTAATGCTTGGAAGAGACTCCATCCAACCCTGGTCTGGATTTGAAGCACGAATCTAGCACCTGCACTATTGAAAGTCATCCAAATCATTTTAAGCCTTTTCGCATCCATCAGCCCATAGGAATAGTAGTTGAACGTGACTCATTCCACCGATTTCCACTCTTGAGTGGTGACCATGATGGCAGGGTGCTCATCGACAGTCACCTCCAGTGCTGTCCATCGGCACCTCGGGCAGAAGGGAGTGTGATTGTGGAGTTGGTCCAAACACTTTGGGGGGACCCCGTGGGAACCCCGAAGAAAAGCAAGGATTGGTGAAGGAATCTCACATGGTTTGAACTGTACGTAAGACTTGAGTGCGAACGCCATCCCCCAATCAAATCGGAATTGAAGCATCTGGTGCGAAGTTCATGATGATCATGATGGTTCATGTTGAAGGTGTAGTTTGGACAGTTCCAAGCATCCAAAGCTGCAACTGGCAACCTGCAGCATCATGACTCCTCGTACCTCAGACCATATAAGAGAACCTGCACACTTTACAGTAGATCTTTGAGGAGTGGTGTGAGTTTGATAGCTCCCCACTTTCTTGCCAACCCTGTTCTACTGCTACTGGCACAGCAGGCTGAGGCGTTCGGAGCTTTGAAACCAACCTCAGAGGGCTTCCAGAGGTTCCATATTTGCGGCGTCGAGATATGGAGTGCCCTTCCACCCAGATGCAACCCTGGACCCTCCTAAGTCGGACCCCCCCTCTCAAAGGGGTCTAGTCGCACCCTCGCACGTTTTGAGGGACTGGTCAACGCTGTTTGGAGCTCTCCGCTCGAGGTCACCCCAACCTCGTCCGGACCGTCCTCCTCTCTTTAGCCGTGACGGAGCTCTCCAGAGGTTTCGTCATGGCTCTCTCCACCTTGCTGCTGCTCTTCGAAATCGTGGGGCACCTCTCCAGCAAGGACCGGTCCGAAACAGTGAAAGATGAACATCTTGAGTAAATAGCTGGGGCTTCTCAAGAAATAGGACTCAGAAACCGCTGTGCTGTTGTTTCTATTGTATTTGTTTTTTTCAATGGATGGCTGGTGTTGAAGGGCCGTAGTGAGGTCGCTTCCAATTGATAAGTCGGAACTAGTTTGTTTTTTCACAACGTAGACGGTGGCGATATCCCCCAACCCTTCAATGGATTTGACTGACTTGGTACTGTGCCCGGGGCTTTTCGTGGATGGCAGGACTTTCAGCAGCTGGTGGTGCCCACGTCTCTTTGCAACATCAATGCATGAGTGGGCAGAGTGGGCAGACGCCCATGTGTGAGCCATGTGATGAGGATGTCCCGCCCCGCTGGACTGTCAACATGTACAGTAGGTCATGTAGGAAGTTAGAACAATCATGACAAGGGAAACACCCGGATAATTACATGTTACTGCTGAGCTAAACTCAGTGAAGGATTAGTGCTTCTCTGTTCTGTTGAAGAGGTGCGCATTGCGTTAGTTGAAAGGGTAAGAGGAACGTTGGCAAGCGAATCGCGGTGTGCTGCGGAAAGGTTCCTGAAGAATTGCGGGATTTGTCGCGTGACAGGATCTCTTGGCAGGTTGTTCATCCATTTTCCTCAGTGCACCACAGGTGCTTTGTTTTGTCATGTTCCATCCACACATTCCTTGTTTTTGCCGGAAGCACTTCCCTGAGTCCTGAGTCCTTTTCAATCCTCGCGCCATCGGAACAGTCCTCAGTCTGTTGGTTTCAGGGATTGGACTTGCGATATCCGCAGCCATTGCTAGTGCTGTAGCTGGTCACAAAGTGGGCCAATCTCGTCAAAAAGTGCGGACCAGAGATGGAAGGGGCAGATTTGATCGCACCTGGCGATTGTTGCAAGTGCTTGGTCTACTCGGCACATGCGCAAAAAAAAGGTGGAATGAACAGTCCTTGAAGGCTGGACCATGGTGCAAGAGTGGAAGACATTTGCTACGACTTTTCCCTTATGCATACTGACTTTCTTGTTTGATCACTGATGCCAAAACCGCTTTGCAGTCTGTTCCCTCAGGACGGGCAGAGGGTTTCTTTGTTGGTACATGGTCCGGTTTTGTCGCACAGCTATCCTCCCTCAGGTTCGAAAACACCCCGAACAGCCTCAAGTCATTTAACATGTTGGACAAACAATTGAAAGATCCAACGATTAAAGTGTGAAAGGTGTAGCACAATAATTGCAGGATATTGCAGGCGTTTCTGAAGAGACGATTGTTTTCCTGAAGATGGCTTGATGTAGACATAGTTGTAGAGGTTGCAAGATGTTTTTGCCGTTTTTGCTGCAGATGGGAGCTACTGCCACACTCCGACGAACACATCACATGGAAGTGGAAAACCGATGAAGAAACCACTGTCTGTGAATCTGTGAAGGAAAGCAGTCTTCGAACATGTGTGGTTTCATCAGGCCTAAAGAGCCTTGTTAAAGCAAGCTTTGCTTGTTTGAGCTTGGGTGTTTTTTCAATGTTTTTTCTGGAATCGAACCACTCACTGAAAAAGCAATGATGTGGAGCAACCATCTCTCGTCTACTTCTCAAAGACGGTCATTTCATCGTTTCTTAAAATCGTGAAATGAACATGGAGAATGGAACAAGAAGCACCGTGGAAGCTTGTGCTGCTAGCATAAACTTTGAGTCCTCCTTGAACAGTTCTTTGCGTTATGTTCAGGTATTGCCTGCAAAACACCAAGCAAAAGGGCCCTTTGCTTGGCTCGCCAAAAAGGCAACGCATCTTTCAGCTCAAGCACTTGCTATGTTACAACATATTGCAAGAGCTATCGAGCCTTGCACAACTTGCGAGCTGTTTCAATGCACGCCAGTTTGTGCTTTTCCATGGTCTTTAAGGTTTTAGGACTGAACAGAATCTACAAAGGGCGTACAGAATGCCAATATCCAATCCCTTGAGCCGCACCAAGAGCTTTATAGATCAACAACGGCCCTGCGAAAGTCCGCGAGATGGAAACACAGATGAAGACAGACACCTAGTCTTTTCGAGAATAGTGATCCCAAGAGAACGTGGCCACCAACTCACAGAGGCCATAACTCCACCAACTCACTGTTCAACTCTTTTTAACTGATATTCAACAGATCACATGGGGGGAAGGCCCTCTTCAGATCAGATCTCTCCATCCCCGGTGCTGCTTCGCTCACCGCGCATGAAGCGCCCGCTCACGGCCTTTTCGGACCAGCCGCACTGGCCGAAGCGAAGCGAGACGAAGCTGGTGATGGTGATGAATTGCACATGCACCGTGATGCACCGTGTATAGTGTATAGGATGACATATGGGTGATGGCATGACTTTCGGGCAATCTTCCTGTTTCTCCGCGTTTGAGGGAGGGTAATCTGGCAACCTGCATTGGGAATCTGCATTAGCATGAGCATGTCACTCCCCGTCCGCTTGCCACCCTGGCTTTCAAGGTTGATGAGTGAGCACTGTGTAACATGGCCTCAAATACCATCATGTTTCACAAGAGGCCAGACATCAATAAAGAGCCTAGATTTGAGAGGACACCTGACTGACCGTTGCTTGCAACTCCAGTTTATGATGGCCCCCAAATAGATAGTGGTACGGTTTCCAAAACATGTTTACTGGGGATCTACTTTTCTATCTATACAATTCAGATGATATCGGGTCTGTATATAATATGGCTCTTTAGTCAACTGACCAAGGCCGTCAGTGCTTGAAGGGTTGTTATCGACTTCACGCACAGCTGTGCTCTCGACTTTACAATGGATTTTTGTTGACCTGCAGCTTTGATGTTCAACCATTCATGAACCGTGTCTTTTTTGTTGTTAAGTTTTGAACAGGTACTGTCAGGAAGAGAGACGCAAATACCAACCCATAGTTGGTATGGACCCCCACACCAAACAATGACGCCCAAGCGATCGAAACCATTTGTCACACATCTGATCGAAGCCAGGCGCCGAGCTCGTTTGCAGCCCAGGCGGGATAAACCTCTGTTGAGGTGAAGAGAAACTGCTCCAGTTGATAACCTTAAACGTTTTTGGGGATAAAGGATGAACAAGGTAAACCGTTATTTTCCAGGAAAACTCAGGGAGTCAGAGTGCTGGACAAAACCTCCAAGTCGTTGGTCAAAGTCTCCACCTACGGACAAAACTCCAAAAAACATGTCCCCCGAATCACAGGAGACCGCACAACGTACGTGACACCAGATACACCAATGATGCACCAGATTCAGCTGTCCAAGGACTCTTCCTTCTGATCACTCTGGATTTGTTGATTCTTTTCGCCGCGGCTCCCCTTTTCGTCGTGCACTCCCTGTCTGGCTCCATCAAGCTCGTGAGGCCCAACAAACAGGTGGTACTGCGCAGCCGCGGAGAGAGGCGTGGCGATGTCGAGTGGCACGAATGTCCGAGTTGATGATCCAATCGATGTTGTTCTTTCCTTTTCAAACGGCTTCAAGTTCATCCTTTATCCATACTTTTACCAGTCAGAAGTGTAACTGATGAGGAGGGAGCATGGTTCGGTGGTTCTCTAAACAAAAACGGTTGGCTGAATGCTGCCTTCGCTGACGTCGGTGCATATCCCGGAATCCCTCCTTTGGAATAACAGCCTATATACGCTATATATATATGTATTGCATCCATAGGTCCATAGCGTAGCGCATCAATATTTACCAGCACTGACCGTCACTGAGTTACCTCGTCTTCTTCTTTTGTTTGTAATATATTACATTCTGATGAAAAGCTTTTCGATCCTTTTCAGCTCCTGCGAGCTTTGGTTTGACTTGATAGCCATGACTTCGTGGCGAGAAGGGTAGTCGGATGGGAGAGCACCCCAAGGATTTGAGCGATCTTGGTTGATCTATCTTTCTTTGGTTCTAACTGAGAACTTTGGCAACATACTTCAACTGCTTCAGTGTGGCCGGTTGAACTTGGCCAGGCAAGATGCGCAAGATGCGGAGGCACGAGCGAGATGAAACGAGGACGCCCAGAGCTGCGTAGAAGGATACTTACTGTAAGTAGATGTTGACGTGATGATTCGAGGGATCGCCACATTTCAAGAGAGTCCCAAATGTTGCAGAATGATGGCAAGTGGCGTAAGTGTGTGTGTGTCTGTCATTGTATATCTAATTCAGGCAAGCATCAGTCGTGCGGGGACTTTTGACTTTTGACTCTTGAGATCAGATTGAAATGCTTAGGCAGATCCTAGGGATGGGCAGATGCTGCTTTTCTGAAACATCTCTCAAGAACTTGGCTGTCGTGATTTGCCGAGGACCTGAATTCCTTCTTTTTCCCGACAGAAATGCCACGCGCACAGGCGCGTCCCAGTCGCCGAGTCTTCACAGGGCCCGGAAGCACAGGGCTGGGAGGTTTCAGCGGAGCGGAGCGCTGAGGAGGTTGGTCAGTGTGCTACAGCGGCGGCAATCTAATCTGATGCACTCCCTTGCTCTTGGGGAACAGATATGGGGAGATGATGAGAGATGGTAATTGTCAAAAGCACTGCAGACCCAGACTGTTGAAGCTTTGAATTTGCCATGACCTAGGCCCAGTCACGTGGGACCATAATTACACTTTTGGCATCTGTCATGTCCAAGAACCCCACAAGGAACGGGGTGCTGGCAGCAGGGTCTGGATAAAAGCTGATGTTTTCAGCTGTTCGACCATGTCAACTCTTCGGTGAATCGATGACTTACCGATCTTGGGCGGACCTTGTGGTCCTGCCGAACTCGTGGTGCACTCAGGGAGCCTCCAGTGGAAGAAGAGGATGGGCTCTATTTTGGATGTGGGGATGGTCGGACGGCTGGGGCTCATGCTTTTGTGCTTCAGAGAGTTCGCCACTTGGAATCGGACCTTTGCAAGGTCTTTGGACCCTGATCTGCAGGAAAGGACTTGGTTTGACATGCTTTGACTATCTTTGGTTTGGCAAGAACGGTTTGATGGCATGCCGCATGCCAGCTTTGATGTTGACATTTCAGGATATGGTGTTCTGTTTGGGTTGTGCAGCTCTGCTTGGGGTTTAAGGCTTGAGCAGCTCTCCTGGTGGGTTGGCATTGGACATATGACATATGGTGAAAAGCTGCTTGCAGGGTTTGAATCCATAACGATTTGACAGAAAAAGGATAGTGTGAGAATCCAAAGTCTCAGCTTCCAGGGGAAGTCGAGCGCACCCAACGGAAAAAGAGACGCACCCACCCGCAACATATGGAATCCATAGATCCGCAGAGGGTGCTTCCTTTGGCATCTAGAAAGATTGGAAAGGTTCAGAGGATGCTTCCATTGCCCACAAACCTTAAACCGCCATACCGAACCCAGGCTGAACCGCTGTCCATCCGACGTGCGATGCCGACTCAGGGGCCGCTGATGGTGCAGCGCTTGTCCTCCTCGGCACCGCCACCGCCGCCCCCCTTCGATGAAGCTGGCGAAGAGGAGACATGGGGAATTGGAGGTAGCACCAGGTTTAAGAAGCTTCGGTGATCCATGAAGATGGGATCCAATCAGCTACTTATAGAGGTGTGTGGGTCAGTACGATCAGTACTAGCCACTAGCCACCACCTCCCTCTAGTTCTCAAATGTGATTGGCACTCTTCGGAAAGGACTGGGGTCTCCACTGTCGATAACAACATTTTGTTGGACGAGTTCTACGACTTTTCCCTGACATGATTTTGTTAAGTTCCATGGCCTATCACCATAGTTCTAAGGCTTTTTCCGGGTACAAACCAGGGAGAAGTCGACAGGCCCAGCGGCCCAGCCAGCGACTACTTTTGGTCGGGCGAATGAAATCACAGCTTACTTGAAATCGATGACTCATGTCCGTGACCAGCCCTCTTTTTATAAAATTCATTCATTTTATTGATTCATGGCGCCCACATGCGGGTTCTGCAAGATTCTGCAGGGATACACACAGATCAGGTACATGCAGTAGGTGGTATGCTCATTGTTCCTGTCGCTAGCCTTCACGGCAAGGCTGCCCGAAGACACTGCGTCTTCTTCCACAACGCGCCCATTCGAGTGAATGAGGCCCGGGTTCGGACAGGGTTCCGATCTAAACCGTTGCCTGACTGCATTGCAGGACCGGTGAAGGCACCACCTGGACCGGTATGGCTCGCGCTGATCTGTCCTAGGGTTGGGAGATTCCCTAGGGGCCGCACGTGGGCCACAACCCCGGCTGGAAGCCCTTTGCCGCACGTCGGTGCAAAACATACCCATCTCGATGTTCCTGATATGTCGATTGATGTCGATTGTCCACTGGAGTCGTCCAAGATGCTGCATCCCAAGGGTTCGCTGTCCCATCGATTCTGAGGCCACCTTGAAGCGCTTCTTCGAGCGAGCGGGGAACGTCCGGAGGTGGGAGCGGGGGCATTGGTCTTAAGCTAAAACGTTTTGTGTGGATCCCAGAGTCTTCCAGCATCTGGAAAACTGATGATTTTCCAGGGGAAGTGGAAGTGGTGCTGGGTTCTTCATCCCTCAACTGCCCATACCGCCATGCCGAATCAAGGTGGGCTCAGCAGGTTAGCAGAACTTGCTTCATCGTCGATGGGCGCATCCGATGGCGCTCTTGCGAATCAACTGGCTTACAGTAAGCAGAAAGCAGACCCGTGCGGAGTTCAGATGGGGCAAGCCGTTCTCCATCAGAACGGCTTTAGGGACCGGACGACCGGACTGGAACCGACGACTCGACGCGGTCATGGGAGGATCGGACTGTGCTACTTCCCCATGGATGGGACCGGGACGCTTTCAGGCTGCGTCTCTTCATGGAGAACGGCCAATCCAGAGGCATGGGCGTGGTAGCTCAGAGGAGAGGGCCGTCGGGTGCTTTGGGATAGAAAACACGGTGTGTAGTTTAATAGGGAGGCTCCCTGGCCCAATGGGTGGTCCGTGTGTGTCAATTTTCCTTCTTCCACGGGGTTGAACTGAGAGGTCTCCCATTTTGGTGCATACCTGCATGGGCCTACATGAGGTAGGTAAATCTCCCTCCAACAAACAGTGGAGTTCACCCCCCTTTTTGTTATTCTGAAGATTGTCTTTCCTGGGGCCATGCCATCCACGTCCAGGATGGTTTCACGGAGTGCAAATCTCCAACTATCTCCAGTTTTTTGCACATTCACAAATGTGTGAGCGTGAGTGTGTTGTCAAAGTTCTTTGTAGATATTAATTTGCTGTCCATGTGTATCACAGTGTATGGTCGTTCTTTTCATGTCATGTCGAATGTAGAAACCAATGTCATCCTATGTAACAACCTGTCCATAATAGTGCGTATACAGGTGTGTGTGTGTGTATGTCTGTAATATAAATATATACACTGTACACTGGCCAGACAAAAGTTGCGCTTCTTGAAACAGAAACTCATGTCAACCCTACTGTCAACCCTTACCCCCTAGAATCCTACATTGGGAGACCTGGGGCCGTGTGGGCGGTCATTTTTCACAACGGTGTGATAATTGACTGTCCCACACCTGCCACGCAAATTGGACTTAGTAATTCGATCCGCAGCTGACCATACAGCGTTTTTTGAATATGGTTAAGAAGCATAAATCATACACTTTTGTCTGCCTGAAGTATGTTGATGCTGTCTTGGATGTGTAAGAAGAGAGCAACATGTAGCAACAGGGTGCAGACGATTTCACATCGATGGTGGCACTTGTAAATGGTTACATTTGCACATACCTGGATGTGGAGCGAATGGTGCTTCCTCCATCATTCGATTGACTCTCACGGTGCGCTGGCGGGCCAACACATGAGGCCTCTGCGAGTACATGACTCCTGAAGCTGCTTTGGCCCGGCACTTGAGATGGGTGGAAGGCATAGGCCCTAGGTCAAAACCCTCCACGCCCAATTGAAACAACAAATGAACCGAATCGACCAACCGGAAAAAACAGCACCTATACCATGGATATTCGGTCTTGCGGGGGAGCAGCGTCACGCATGAACGGACAGAGATCGTACTATAAACAGCCCACATGGGGTTGGCCGAGACGAGTTCTGGAATGATCTTCCAGTCAGTGCCAAGCTCAGATTGCTGACAACCAATTCTGAGGAAAGACGTGCTATGAAACATATTTGTAGAAGAAGACCTACCCTTTGATTAACATGGACACTGGGTCGTAGAGGAAAATGGTCAACGGGCCAATTGTCAGGGTCCATGTTCGTTTGCTTTCGTGTGTAAACTCGAGATGCTTCAGCTTCTCGACAACATGTGTCTGGCTCAAAAGGATGCGTTCCCATGCTGGGCAGTGCTCCTGCCCAGTGAGCGCTTGCAAATTGGATGAGAGCGGAAGAGAGTTGTCTTTTTTGTCGGGACTGAGGAGTGGTGAGAGAGTAAAATTGGAGAGAGAGAGAGAGAGTGTGTGTGTACAAATCGTAGTTTATTGCCCTTCTGGGGTTCCTTGAGCAGTTCGATTCACAAGGAATGTGAGAGAAAGCTGAAGATTTACACAAAACATTCATTGATTCAGGATGTTTCGGTCATGTTGCCAGTCGCAGCAATACCACCATAATGTTTGGACCAAATAATTTGATGGTATTGGCGTGGGAGCGTTTCAGGCCGAGCTCCTGATGTTTTGCTTGCCCAGTATTGCTTTTGTTATTTTGATTTTTGTTTTGTATATAATATGTATATATATATGTGTTATTCTGTTCCTTCCGATGGACCACAAAGGGCACATGAGGATATTGGCTGAGCCAAAGATGTCCAGAGTTGGGGAAGTTTATGAGAGGATATTATATTCATGGATAGACTAAAGATTAGATTATCATATCATTAAGTTCATAGAATGGAATTCCTAAACTCACCACCAGATACTGCATGATTGGGAGAAGATGTCCGGAGTCATTGAGACCCACCGCTCGCAACACATGATGGTCTCGGTAAGACAAGGCCCTAGTGTTTGCTCGAGGCTGTTTTGCTAAATTTTGCTCATTCAACACTGCAAGATGCCCGTGCAAGTGCATCTTCACAATTTCGCAATGCAGTGAACCCTTTCATCCCTCCTTCTTCCAAATCAGACCAAGGAAAGTTGCTTGGCAAAGGCATGTACATTTTCTTGCTGCCACTCTTAGCCACCTGGCATGTGACATGCTCTTGCTTCACGATGGTATTTGGTGTGAAATTGTCCCCACACAAAAGTCGACATCCGGGCCGGTCGACCTCCCAGTCCATTGTGGTTTGGTCTTCGGCCGATGCCTCCCCAAAAGCGAAGAAACCAAACACACTGGGACACTTCCTCACGGTTTTTTAAGGTACGCGGTGTGAGTTGTTTGGGCCGAACCTCGGATATCAAGGGAACCGCAGGAGTTGCGTCCACTACCTCCGCAGGAGTTGCGTCTCCCACCCGCAGGGGAAACATGTTTTTTTTTTCCTTCTAGTTACTGTAGAAAGCGTTATTGCTACTAGTAGCGATGGCCTCCAACCTAATAGCCATGGCCTCCACCGTGCGTAGCTTCTAGTTGGGGTTTGCTTTGCAAACGGCAACACCACGACATGGCGGTTCAGCGAGTGGCTACACACTCGTTTGGAGCCCATCTGAGGTGTTTCACCTGGCCCACCACCGGAAGATGGGGATGAGAACCACCCCTGAATCGCCTCATGAGAAGATACACTGAATCGATTGAACTCTTATTTGGAGTTGCTCACATCTCGGTTTGAAACTGCGGAATCTAGGTGAATTCTGGTGATCAGATGAAGGTTTAAAGGGAGTCTGACGCATGGATTCTGTGCTCCATGAATTCCTGCAAAGCTGAGTTTCTTCAGATTGATCCTTCCAAGGCCTTTGTGACTTGCGAACACGACTCTTGTGCGAGTTGGGGGGGACTCACCATTTCCACAGTTTTTCTACAGTGACGAACGACCCTTCTCCAAGGTGGTGCGAACCGGGGCCTATCGGCGGACCATCTTGGAGAGAACTGAGTGGAAGGAGAGCGGATGGGTTGGTCAATGGTTTCTCCTTGTACATTTTTCAGTTTTCATCTTTGGCAAAGGTCAACCTATGTAAAGCAATTGTTCATGGGGATATATGCGTATTTTGTCTTCTGTGCGGATGGTCTGTCCATTTGTTAGGGCATTCGGAAAGACCATCTGTGATGGAGCAGGCGACTGGACCATGGACACTCCACTGAGAGTTCTATGCCCTGGAGCGAGGGTGGATCCACAAATGACTTCTCCAACCAAGACAAGGAACAAGGGCGTCCTGTGAGGCCTGGAGCATCTCCATGCACATATCAAACAGCTTAAGTGGCGAGTCCTCGCAAGTTCTTCTACTTTCCTCGCAAGTTCTTCTACTCGGTCTGAGCCTAGAAACTCGAAGATACTCAACCGCGAAGTGGAGCTGGACTCAATGCTTTTCAAAAGGGGGGGTAGGCCGCTAGTAGTAGCTAGGTAGCTAGTACCCGCAAGTAAGCTACTACTTAGGACGCAGGATAGCTCGCGCTTCTTCAAGGAAGCTGCCCCCGCCGCCCTAAAGGCGGGTGGGAAGCTTCCTTGCAGAAGCGCTCGCACTATTCACTTGGTTCCTAGATTCTTTTTTCGAAACTTAACTAAACTATGAGTTCCTGTGGACACCCGATCAACAGCGTGTGCTCACTAGCCATCCCATGGCTAGATGATCTTAGATGCACACAATGATTTCTCATCAGCCGGGGATCCAGACAGGTAGTCAACACTGCTGCCCATCTTTTGCCGCAGCTGGCTGATGCCTCATGATGCCCGAACTTTTTGGGTGGCTTTCGACTGCACACCGCACGAGTCGCACCAGGATCTCCGCGTCGAACTCTGGACTTGGAACTCGGGCAAAGCAGTGGGCCCCAGGGGACTTTCGACGGTCCCCGTGCCGGCACCGTTTCGAGGACGAACAGCTCCCTTTCGGAAAGGGGAGGCGGTCGCAAGTTTGTAGAGCAAAAATCCTACAGCAGTCCAAGACGCAATGCTGACAACGTCACACCACATGGTATCTAGATGGATTTATCGCTGAGGGTCAACACAGCACTGTTCTCACGGCTTGGCAGAATGGCCAATCAATGCCGAACACGGTCTTAAATCGATACATTCGATTTTTTTTTTTTTTTAACCCACCTAATATGAGTCATCAACTAGACTTTACGGGGGATTTGTTGAAATGATGCCACAGAAAGTCGCACCAAGAAAGAGTAAGACAAAGTAATAGTAAGACTTTTCTTTTGCAGGCGATTCCTGGTTGGTGGAACTACCATTGTAGGACATCTCGTTCTTTTGTTCCTTATGGGAACCTCGGATGGGAACACTCCATGCCACAAGTAAGTGTGTTGTGTCGGGCTTGAGAAAAATGTCTTGTATTGGAAGGCCAGTGCAGTTTGGGTCCTCGACCAGGTTAATTATGTCCATTAAGTTATTTGCAACTGGGGTGGGGAGTTCATTTGTATCTTACTTCAGGGTTTAAGTTTAAGCCGTATCTTTTACGCTCTTCGTATCGCCGTATCTCAGGAATGGGTGATTTGGACTCGTTGTGTACCATGGCTTTACGATGTTCATTTCATGGCCTTATGAGGTTGCCCAAGCGTGCCCATGTAGTTTGGCATGTTGGAGGTTGAGTTGCATTCTGGCAGTTGCTGCGTGGCGTGCTGATCGCGTGCATTGTCATGTGGTAGTAGTCTACCCGTCAAGGATCACATGAAACCTCTGGAGGTGGCGCAACATCTTGTTGCCATCAGTAGGGGGTCTGTGTTTGTTTCAGCTCCCTCCACCTCCACCCAGCCTTGATCCCCCCATCCGAAGCGCCATGTCATCCAATGGACCAGTTTCTCGTGCGCCTCGCGCTGAGGCGAACTTGCAGCAGGAAGCGGACCGTTTGGCGGCCACCAATGCAGTTTCTTGAAGCGGAATGGGGGCGTTTGTTCGGTGGCATTCATGTGCTTCTTTGGGGAGAGCTACTGAAGGCAAAGAAATATGGCGGTGCTTGCGATGTCTCTTGAAACTTCTAGAATGTGTCACGGTGCTTGGGATGTTATTTGAAACTTCTTCTAATTAGAATGTGAGCAATCAGGGTTGTTGCAGTATGGTGGCCCCAGACCGAACTGAGGACATTCTGGTCACTTGCCAGACTGAAGCCACTGCTGATATCTCGACATTTTTGAAGGAGGAGTGCTGCTGGCTAAAATTTGAGCAGTCCTCTGACCAACTTGTCCACGAAGGAAAAACCAACAGACGTGTGGCTACTCCGTGTCTTTTCAATTTGAGGCTTATGTAATATATATAATGTCAATAGGGATGGGGTCCCAGTATAGTCGCTATACAGGTACATGCCATATACATTTTGGCTCAAGTGCCCAACCAGGTAAAAAGGAGCTTTAGCGCGCGAGCTTCATGTTGACCTAATAGCTAGAACGGGGCCAGGGCACACCTTTCCATCCGTTCGCAGGTTATCAGCCGTATCCAGACTCCGTTGAGCTGGGTACGAGCTGCGGCCTTACACAACACCATCTAAACGCACACGCATCGGATAGATCAGTTACCCTCAGTCACTGAAGATGGACCAATCCGACGCCAGCACTGCATCTTTTGGAGCAGCTGCTGCGGCCGCAGATCGGATGAGTGCATCCCACAACTCTAGTCCAGGTACGATCGAAGCGGAGACTCTGACAGCGGTGAGAGAAGATGCGACAGGTAGAGCACGAAGTCGTTCCCCGTCAGCGCACTCGACACCACCGGGGGGGACACCGAGATCAGGCCGTAGCCCTAGGGAGACAAGGAGGAGGACTGACACCGGAGCTGTGAGAGTGTTAGCATTGGAGGATGGGTCAGCTGTACCAGTGCCGTCGGACAGCGAAGCTGGAGATGGAGCAAGGGCAAGCACTGACAACCTACAACTAGCACGGGCCGATGGAGATCTGAATGCGAAGTGTGCGCAACTACTTGCCGAAGTGCATATGTTGAACCACCAAAACGCATGGATGGTCGAATGTGAGCAGAGACAGAACCAGATTATACAACACGAGACCGAAGTCCACGAAGTAGTGATGGCACACCTCGAAGAATGTTACGTCGAAGGATATGGAAATCAACGAAGAATCTCCCAACTTACAGAATCCAGAGACTGTTTGCTCTCAGCAGCACACGATCTGCAATACCAGATGGACACTGATCGTGTGGCAATGCGGGATCGTCTCACCCAGTTAGGGGAGTACGCTGATCGCAACAGCGCAGAGATGGTTAGTCAAGTTGTGAACATCGGCACGGAAGAGATCCAGGCTATATCGGCGGAAAGAGATCGAGCCGTAACCGAGGTCATGACTACAATCGCAGATGCTGAGAACGTCAAGGATCTGTGTAGACAGGAGTTGGTTGGACTACAAAGGCAGAGTGCCAGAAACAAACACGAATATGCTGAGGAAATGAAGATGAGGGAAGCAATGTATGCAAACAAGATCAAATGGTTATCAGAAGAGAATGAGGAGCTCAACAACCGATCTAATACTCAGGATAAGTTCATCTTGAGCATCAGAGAGCAATTGAAGAAGGCGAACGAGGAGTTGACTCAGACGAGGATTCAAGGATCCGATCGACCGTTTCAACCATCTAGCGCCGAACTCAAGAAGGCCGAAGCCAAGGTGAACATGTTGGAAGAGGACATTCTACGTAAAGAGAGGATGCTGAAACGTCTTCAGGAAGAATTGATCGAATCAAGCGCAAGTGAAGCACAATTGAAGGTCGCACTGAAGTTGAAACCACCAGACATGGGATCAGAACCCAGTGTGGAGAATGAGATGATGACCAAGCTTAGAGCGGAACTTGAACGTACTGAAAAGTTATTAAGGTCCGAGGAGAAAGAGGCAATTGAGTACTACGAAGGTATGATGCAGAACCAACAGGACATGATGGAATTCGAAGCGCATGCATCACGGCTCAGAGATGAGAGGAATAAGTACCGGAAGAGGTACGAAGAGGAGCGCACAAGTGCAGAGAATGCAGCCGCAACCGAACATGGTGCCGCTTCATCCTCTAGCTCAGGTGGCTCCAAGATATCTCGGAAGGAACACGAGAAGATCAACATCCCTGCATGGCCCAAGATACACGACCTGGAGGTTTGGAAATCCCAGGTTGTAGCGGCAGTCGTGACGGCATCGGGCGACGAGAAACAAGAAGACTGGATCCAATGGCTCTCGGATGCCTTCAGATCACCATATGACCCATTTCTACTCGAGACATCAGGCGAAGCAAGATTCGCTAGCATAGACGCCAAGCTAGGTATCACCCTACATACGATCATCCACGCAGCAGGTGAGAGATCTCATGACGTACAACTGAAGGTGAGGCAGATGATGCAGAGACGTGCGAGAGGCACAACTCCTGGAATGGTCAAGGGACGAGAAATGTTAGCGTTGATCGTCGATAGTTTCCGGAGTGCCGACAACGTTGATGTGATGTATGCATCCAAGCACTTATTCGATCTAAAGTTCCCTGGGGATAATCAACTATCCAGATTCCTTGGACAGTGGGATGAGATCATATCAGGTATGGATGCGGATGACATGCTTCCTGACAAAGCACTTCGCAACCTGCTTTGGGATAAGATTAAGGATTCCAAAGTTATGGCGTTAGACTTGTCTGTGTACGACAACATGTTGGATAAGGATCCGGATAAGACCTACCAGAAGTTACGAGAGATCATGACGAAGTGGATACGGAAATCAATTAAGACCACAAACAAGAGAGAAAGGGAGAAAGCTTTTGGGAACATCGTGAAAGCCACACCAGCGGCGGAGAAGAAGGAACCTAAAGCGAAACCCAAGAATACCAAGACCGATCCACCGAAACATGACGCCGCTCCAGTACTTCCTCAGGCTAATCCGAAGGACCACAACAAGAAGGACAAGAAGCAGGATCGTGGAAGATCAGCCACGAAGAGCCCAAAAGGGGATCGTGGCAGGTCAGCGACTCCAGCAGATACGTCCAAGATAGGATGCGCTTTCCACTTCCATGGGAAAAACGGATGTTCTAGAGGAGACAAATGCAAGTTTAGTCACCAAGAGAAGCACAAGAGTTCTGCTAAGAAACCAGAAAGCCTCAAGGGTGACAGATCAAAGAGTCCTGGTGGCAGGAGCAGTAGCCCTAAGCCAATGAAGGATCAGGTCTGTTGGAATTGGCAGAAGATCGTGCAAGTTCGGGGACAAATGTCAACGTCAGCATCACGCTGCTCCTGCTACAAAACAAGAGGCTAGAGGCAAAGCCAAGCCCAAACCGGCTGCGCCAGCCTTCATGCTTTGCGGAGACATCGAGAGTGATGACGAGGACGTACAACCCGCACTTCCCAACGTACAACAAGGTAAGCTGGCGCTTCGCTTTAAAGTCAGATTCGATGACCAGGCGAATGTGACCACGTTCACCTGCGGTCCTGGTAACAAACTAAACAACCGTCCCTCCAAGAGGAAGAAGAATGAGGTGCAGAAGGTGGACACCGAGCTCATTTCGTCGTCGAGAGCCCTCAGAGTGAGCAACATAGCTGCACGAGTAGCACATGCCAAAGGTAAGATGATGGAGCTATTCTATGCTGAACACATTGCCAAGGCATGGATACAAATCACTCAGGATGAAGGAATCGAGGTGAACGTCGACCTGTCTGATTTCAACACCAGAGAGGTAGTAAGGAAGGATTTTGTCGACTACACGATACCAGGAACCACGATGTTCATGGCTGTGGAGAGGTATGATGGACCACCAATACGCTTCATCATGGACACGGGATGTGGACACGACTTGATCTCAAGAGAGAAAGTCAATGCCATGGGCCTTACCACCAAGGAAGGACCCAAATCCGTGAGCTTCATGACAGCGAATGGTGTAACTAGTACATCAGAGATGGTGGACATCAATGTGGACGAACTACCCATGAGGTCCGAGGCACACGTGTTGGAAAGCACACCATCAGTCTTTTCCATCGGGAAACGGTGCATGGAACAAGGGTACTCATTCATATGGCCGGCAAATCAATTGCCATACCTCATCGACCAGAACGCGAACAAGATTCCGCTATCGGTGCATGACAACATACCCTACATCAAGGTGAATGATGATGACGGGAGATGTTTACCAAGACCAGACGGCTTGGCTACGATACTTCATCGCATACTGTCAGGTGCGGGGCATGAAGACGAGGTCACAACAGGTCAGGAGACACAACAAGAGGAACTTCCGCCCAAGAAACCACGGAGACGGAGGAGAAAGAAGAAAGATAACCAGAGAGGTCAGGATGGTGAATCTGATATCAATCCAGCTGTTGCAGGCGTCGAAGGAGAACCAGAGGAACACGGTGATGACAGGTATTCTCCTGAAGAGGAATATGACGGGGAAGACCCGAGATTCGATCGTGATCACGAAGGTCAACCTGAAGAAGCCGGAGGCGACGAACATGGAGGTGATGCGGATTCTGAACGAGGGGAGAGTGACATTGATGAAGATGAAGAGGGACTATTGGAAGTCGATGTGGTTGACGGGGAAGCCAGACTATCAAAACCAGGAGTGCTGAAGAACGAGGCGAAATCCATATTGCACTTGATGACGCACCGATACAAGAACCCATACTGCAAGTCATGTGTGAGAGCAAAGATGAAGCACTATAAGACTAGCAAGGGAGCTTTCAAACGGAAATTGAAGGCATTCGGTGACCTTATCACTTTCGATCTCATGAACACTCAGAAGATGGCGAGAGATGGGATCATGCCGGATAAGGACATATTGGTGATTCGAGATCGGTTCACTGGTGTGATATGGGGTTATCCATTGAAAGCAAGCAATAGTGACGAAGTGGTGCAGGCAATGAAGCACTATATCGGTAAGAGAAAGGTCACCAACGCTTACTCGGATGATGCGCCACAATTCGAATCAGCACTCAAGGAACTCCGGATTCCACTAGACCAGTCGCTTCCAGGACATCCCCAGAACAATTCACTCGCCGAAAGAAACAATCAGTTCATGATGCTTACCACATCGACGTGCCTACTAGAAGCCGGACTACCACCATGTTTTTGGCCATTTGCAGTGGAATGCGTAAGCCATTTATTGAACATCGAGAAGCTGAGCGATGGCAGCAGTGCATGGTTGAAGTTGCACAAGAGCGAATTCCCAGGCATGGTGATACCACTTGG